AGTTTGGTATCGGAGCGGACCTCTCATTCAGAGGACCCGCTCAATCAAGTAGCCAGCTTGCGATCTATTGATCACTCGTTAGTAACGCAAGTAGGACTTAGTCAAATCTCTGAAAATTTTTTCTCGCAACAACTATCTGAAATTTCAGATATTCGCATTTCGTTTTACCTGAAAATTTCTGATATTAGTAGTTCGTTTTACGTAACAAATATCTGAAAATTTCTGATAAATCGCATTTCGTTTTGTCTGAAAATTCCCGATAGTAGCATTTCGTTTATCTGATATTTCGCATACATAGCTGAAATTTCTGACGTTAGTATTTTCGTTCTCTAGGCATATTGGGATAACGATAGAAGTGGTCATATTTTCGAAAACTGGAATTATTCTTTTCTGAAAATCGCATTTCCATTGTATCTCGCAATTTCTTTTTTTAAAACCGAATCTTGTGAAGCCTACCAATATTGCGTTAGGCATATTCGGAGGGTGCCATATTCTCAGAAACTGGATATCGTTCTTTTCTGAAAATCGCATCTTTACTCCATTTCGCAAATTTTTTTTTCAAGATCACAGTTTGTAAAAGTCGAAACTTTGCGGAACCCAGCCTAGATCTCGTTCATAATACTCTTCTGACATATCCTACTCATCATAGATCGACATATATATACAAAAAAAAAAGAAAAAAAAAGGAAGTAGTCCTCTTTTATTTTTTATTTTTTTATTTTATCTGTTGATTAGGGCCGGAGGAAAGTACTGTTGGGTTGGTCTCCTACCTGCGTTTTCCCTCCCACCCACCCTTTGCATGCATTTCCGGGTTGGTACAGTGCCACGTCAGACACAGTGACACGTCAGTTTCAATGACACGTCAGCAGGCCACGTCCATAGTGACAGGTCAGCTACAGTGACACGTCAGCAGTGCCACGTCAGACAAAGTGACACGTCAGCTACAGTGACACGTCTGCAGGCCACGTCCACAGTGACACGTCAGCAGTGCCACGTCAGACATAGTGACACATCAGACACAGTGCCACATCAGACAGTGCCACGTAAGCAGTGCCACGTCAGCAGTGCCATGTCAGACACAGTGCCACGTAAGCAGTGCCACATCAGCAGTGCCACATCAGACACAGTGCCACATCAGCAACAGTGCCACGTAAGCAGTGCCCCGCCACCATGACGGGCTCACTTCTGGGCATGCCAGGCCAACTGGCAAATGAATCCATTGCCGAATACCGACAACGGTTCGAAACTCAGCTCGCACTAATCGCGGTTGAGGAACAACGCCAGCTGGCAGTCAAGGCTGCCCAGCAACAGGCTGACGAAGCGGCACCAGCAGAGAAGCTCCGGCTACAAGCCGAAGCAGACGCAGAATCCCAGGCTCGCCGCAAGGAAGCCCAGGATATGCTGCAGCGGCATGAAACAGCCAGCGTGGACAGACTCAAATTCTGGCACTTTGAACCCAACGGCGACGACGCGACATCGAAAGAGCAGCATAAGGAGTTTCTCTTCAAACTCGTGACACGGCTGTTGTACAATTGCAACTACCAACAGTCCGAGTTGGAGAAGCAGTACCAGAACCTGACGCAACAGCATCAGGAGTTGGCGAAGCTCCACCACATAGTGCAGAGCCACGAGGACGCAACTCGGACACTCAATGCCCGAATGCTGGACCTGGAGAACGCTGTACCAGGACCAGCTGCTGGGGCTTCCAGCAGTGCATCCTCTAGCCGCCAACTAAAGGAATGCGTTGACCACGTAGTGGCAATGCTCGACGACATCAGCACCTTCGCTGCGCCGACCACCATCAGCAGTCAGCTGCATAACTTGAAGACCGAGGTCCAGCTGCTGCAGTCGACGAATGCGGATGATAATCCGAACATGTACAAGATGCCAACTTTCCAACTGGACAAGTTCGACGACTACACGCAGCAGGATCCGATCCTCTGGTGGGAAGCATTCACAACGCAACTCAGGATTCTGCCCGTAGCCAAGCATGCGTACATCGGCGCCCTGTTCCTGAACTCAAAGGGCGGATGCCAGACCTGGTTGAGCCACCTGGCAACCTCTCACGGCGTCGATGTACCAGACTTGAAGGACAAAATCACATGGGAGGAACTGACACGGCTGTAGAAGAAGCGGTTCATCGTCGACGACGCGCCGACACTCGCCATCAACCGCCTGTTCACCATGTCACAGGGCAACACTGCAACACGGGATTGGCTCACGGAGTGACAGAAGATTGCGGCGGTGCCCAATCTAGAATTGGCATTCACGCATCTACGTCGCGAGTTCTACAACAGGTCCTGTGCGGCATTGAGCCAGGCTCTTGGTGATCGCGAGCAGTACTCAACCTTCGCTGAGATCATTGACAAGGCGAGGGAGATCATCAAGACCAACAGGTCAGCTGCACACGAGAAATCAACATGGCAGCCGACCTATGTGGAGAAGGTACGAACTGGTCCGCAACAGCAGCACTTCGCTGCAGTCCAGTCGAACAGTGGAGATAACCCAGCAGCCACTCCAGCATCGAGTGACGGAGATCAGGTGGCTGCTGTCCAGCCGCGAAGCAACAACAAGTCCCGCAACAATGGGAAGGCGAAATCCGGATCGCAGGCCGAAAATGGATAGCCAGTAGAAGTTCCATGGTTCAAGTTCGGCTTGACCGAGGCGGAGTACAAGGTCCGAGGCCGCTACAGCAGCTGCTATTGGTGCAACAGCACCAAGCACAAGACCTCCCTGTGCCAGGATCAGGGCAAGGAGGATGTGCGACCCCGCCTCAGCTCGGGAAACTGAGCTCCACGGAAGGTGAGGCGACTTCACCTTCCACTCCGCCAGATTCGGTCGCCTTGCTAGCAGCCTCCTGCACATCTGGGGGGGACGCGAATGTCGCAAGTTCTCGTTACTCTTACGAGGACTATGCTATCTACTTGGTTCCACCGCTGGACCAGCCGCTCCACGTGCAACAGTCCACSGCATGCABGGTTTCATCACCATCGGCAACCGATTCGGCACCTTCGYCGCARTCTATCGCCGGGGATTCGACGTCATGGTCAAGACTTGATGAGCTCGACCCGTTGACGTTCACGGACTTCCAGTGGATGCCCGTTCCCTCGACYRGACGATTGCCGAAACCGCATTGCAAYGTGCTCATGGCACAAYTGCGGGAYTACTTGCACACTGCAGTACCAGCTCCGTTGATGGACGCCGGAGYAGAGGTTGTCGACCTTCACGCTTACATCGCGAAGATCGACCGCGAGTTCAAGACGCAACGGTACGACGACATCGACGCACCATTGCTATACGTACGCATTCAGATGGGAGAGGCGACCTGCAGTGCCTTGATCGATTGCGGAGCATCTCGCAACTACATCAGCCAGGACTTCAAGGTACGCGCCGGCCTTGGCCCACGTGTCCGGACGAAGTTCCAGCCTACGCAAGTCACTCTGGCAGACGGTCATACGCACAAGTCCATCGACCGGTGCATTGACGCCGTCCCAGTGTGCTTTGCCCCTCACGCAAGTGAGGCGGTGTCCTTTGACATTCTGGACACCAAATTCGACATGATCTTGGGCATGTCATGGCTGCGAAGSRAGGATCACCCGGTGAACTTCTTCMACCGCACCGTTCACRTYCGTGAYCGGAACGGAGTAYTAGTTYCATGCACRGTGCCTYTTCCTCATCCTTCGATCAGCTGCCACGTGGTATCCGCCGCAAGCATGCGATCTTCCATCATCAGAGACGACATCGAGGAGATGGGGGTGTGTTTTCTCCACGCCCTCCCGCCCCATGACGCTTCATCGACTGACTGACCTTCGGATCCACGCATCACCGAGCTTCTCGACGCCTACAACAACGTGTTCGAAGGCCCGCACGGAGTAGTACAGGATCGACCCATCCGCCATGAGATCATCCTCGAGGACGGGGCCGTACCTCCGCGCGGTTGCGTGGAGCACGGCTATGGCGCCCAGGTAAGTACCGCTGACGCGGGTATGGCCTCCGCCCCACTTCTTCTTCTTTGACAGCGTGGAGCACGGCTATGGCGCTCAGGTAAGTACCGCTGACGCAGGTATGGCCTCCGCCCTTCTTCTTCTTCTTCTTCTTCTTCTTCTTCTTCTTCTTCTTCTTCATGTGGTTGTTGTTGTTGTTGTGCAGGTCGCCAGTGTGGAGCACGGCTATGGCGCCCAGTTAAGTACCACTGACGCAGGGATGTGTTGTTGTTGTTGTTGTTGTTGTTGTGCAGGTCGCCAGTGTGGAGCACGGCTATGGCGCCCAGTTAAGTACCGTTGACGCATGTATGGCCTC